CTCTGGCTGCACGTGGAGCTGCAATGAGCTTAAAAAATCTCACTTGGTGCCTTGCCTTGTAGAGAGGTTTCTTATATAACAGCTCTGCATTTTTCTGGTGAGTAAGAGGAGTTTATCACTTGGAGCCAGGCCCTGCCCTCTGGGAACAGTTCCTGCTCCGTTCTCTGTGTGGCTGAGGGTATTAATAGCCTGCAACAGAGGATCATGGAATCCTGAAATGGTTTGAGTGGGAAGAGATCTTACAGCTCATCCGGTTCCACCCCCTACCATGGGCAGGAACACCTCTCACCAGCCCAGGTTGCTCCAAGCCCCATCCAACCTGGCCTGGAACACTCCCAGGGATGGAGCAGCCACAGCTGCTCTGGGCAACCTGTGCCAGTGCCTCACCACCCTCACAGCCAAGAATTCCTTCCCAATATCCCATCCATCCCTGCCCTCTGGCAGTGGGAAAGCCATTCCCTGTATCTTACTTTGTCCCAAGTCCCTCTGCAGCTCTCTTGGAGCCCCTTTAGGCACTGGAAGGAGCTCTTAAGTTCTCACTGGAGCCTTCTCCTCTCCAGGCTGAACACCCCCAGCTCTCCCAGCCTGAATCCATGGCTGTGCAACTCCAGGTCTCGAGGCTTTTCCATGGCCAACAGGTCCAAGCTTGGGGGAAAGAAGGAGCACCCTTGTAGCATGGCATGTCCATGGGACCTTGTGCTCTTGGGTGCTGCAGGTGACATGCAGGGTGTGGTTAAGAACCTGCTTCCAGTTGGCTTCTCCCCTGGCATTTCCCAGATTGTTCTAACCCCTGCAACAAGCTGGAAACTCCTGGATGGGTTTTGTGGCCTCTGGGAGAACAGAAATAAGCTGAGGCTGAATAGTCTCCTGTTATCAGTGTGTGCTGCACATTGAGGGTCCCTAACACCTTGTTGCATCTCTAAATGCTCTTCAGAGAGACCACCAGGGTGCTGGCAAGGTTTGCAGCACCCTCAACCAGGTTTGGGTGCTGCTATAGCTTGGTGTGGCCTTAGGGTGACACATTCCTACTTGGAGTCATGTTTTCTGGGCAGCTTGACTTGTTGCCTCGAGCGCATGCCAAGTGCAGGGCCTTGTGTCACTCTGCTGGATCCCAGATATATTTGCTGGTCTGGGGAGGAATTTGAAGGCTGTTTGTGTTGTCTTAACCTCTGTGATCTCCTCTTTTCTCCCTCCCAGTTTGTGAAGTTTGCCAACATCGAGGAGGACACGCCGTCCTATCACCGCAGCTATGACTTCTTCGTGTCACGCTTCAGCGAGATGTGTCACTCCAGCCATGATGACATGGACATCAGGACAAAGTGAGTGGGTCTGGGGGGCAAGGTTTGAGCAGGGAACGCCTGGGAGTAACCCCTGGAGGTAACCCCTGCAGGTTAACTCGTAGCTTGGATGGGTGGGCTATTCAATGGGGGCCCAGAGAGTTGTGGTGAATGGAGCTCAGTCCAGTTGGGGCTGTCAGTGGTGGAGCTCAGTCCAGTTGGGGTTGGTCACTAGTGAAGCTCAATCCAGTTGGGGTTGGGCACTAGTGCAGCTCTATCTCGTTGGAGCTGTCACTGGTGGTGTTCCCCAGGGCTCAGTACTGAGGCAGGTCCTGTTTAACATCTTTGTCTATCACCCACTCATCATGAGGACTGAGTGCACCCCAGTGAATTTGCAGATTACACCATGCTGGGTGGGAGTGGATCTGCCTGAGGGTAGGAAAGCTCTCCAGAGAGACCTGGCCAGACTTATCAGTAGGCTGAGGTCAACTGCAGAAGGGTCAATAAGACCAAGTGTTGATCCTGCGTTTGGGACACAACAACCCCAGGCAGCACTACAGGCTGAGGGAGAAGTGGCTCCAGGATGGTTTGGCAGAGCTTAGCAGTGCTGGTTGACCAACAGTGTGCACAGGTGGCCAGGAAGGCAAATGGCATCTTGGCCTGGGTCAATACTAGTGTGACAGAAAGACTAGGGCAGTGATCATCCCCCTGTACTTGGTGTTGGTGAGGTCACACCTCGAGTGCTGTGGTCACTTTTGGGCCCTTCACTTTAAAAAGGACATTGAGGTGCTGGAGTTGTCCAGACAAGGGCATTGAGGTTGTAAAAAGTTTAGAACAGATGTCCCACAAGGAAGGACTGAAGAGGTGGCTCAGGGGTGATCTCATCACTCTACGACTACCTGACAGGGGT